GTAAGGGCACTTACGAGCCGATTGATTACTTCACTCGTTGCTGTTTTTGAAGTTATCTTTCCAAGAGCTTCACATGCGTATCGTCTGACACATGTATTTCCATCGTCAAGTGCTACCATGAGCTGATTGATAACTCTATACGTTGCTGCTTTTTCATTCATCTCACCGAGACATCGACATGCATTCTCTCTAACATACTCATCACCACATCCCAGTACAACTAGGAGCTGATTGATTACCTCGTTTGTTGCTACTTGTGCGGCTACAGTTTGGATAGTGTAGCATGCATAATTTCTGATGGACCAATTCTTATCACCAAGTGCAGTTATGAGTCGACTAATCACCTCAATTGTTGCTGCTTTTTCAGTTATCTTTCGGAGGGCTTCATATGCGTATGGTTTGACATTGGCATTCGGATGGTCAGGTGTTTTCACGAGCTCATTGATCATTCCATAGGGAAATCTTTCTGCAACTATCTCGGTGAAATCTTTACTTGTATATTCGTCATCATTGTTTGCCGCAAGTAGTAGGAGGAGTCCATCCAACACCTTTCTGGTTGCTGATTTTTCACCCATCTCGCCAAGACAGTAACATGCTCTTTGTCTGACACACTTTTTTTCAAGGCTCAGAAGTACAACGAGCTCATTGATTACCTCAGACGTTGCTGCTTTTTTACCGAAATTCCCAAGAGCCTCAAGTGCATACTCAAACAACTCATCTTGTTCTCCGAGCGTTGTCAGAAGTATATTGATTATCTCACGGATCGCTACTTTGTCACCCATCGTTTTGAGAAACAAATACGCTGTATCATTGTATAAAAGCCGGTGGTCCCGAATTTGGATGGCCAATGAGTGGATCAATCAAGGATGTAGATTGGCAATTCGAAAGGCGCAGAGAAAGTCATATATCGGTAAAAATTCGTAACGCGTCAACTCTAGTGCCAGAAAATTAAAAAACCGAGTGGTAATATCAATACTTCCGTCAAATGGAACCTAGCTCAAAGTATGCGAAATCTCTTCTTTGTTCTAAGAAAAGGTGGTTCTGCTCACATTTGTCAATCATCAATAAGATTTCGATAGGAAAAAAGAGAGCGCATTTTACTGATTTTCGTCATCGCGTTACAAAATCACCATTGCGTTACAAAATCATCATCGCGTAATGTTAATTAAACCGAAATAACAAGCCAGTAAATGATCTTTTTGAACAATTTTNCTCCTTATATTGCTATTTTAATTGGAGCAATTGTGGAGGCCCTTGGTTATATTACTGCCACTGTGTTCATGTCAATGCGATTGGGTCGTAAATATTCATTCATCATCTTTACATGTTTAACAAGCGTATGTATTCTCATTATTCCATTGATAATTAAGCATAGCACTCCGGCTACAGTTATTATATCACGAATGGGCAAGTTTACTATATCGGCATCCAACTGTATCACTGGAGTCTATATAGCAGAACTATTTCCAACATCGATCCGAAGTACTACAAATGGCTTTGTTGTTGCCGTCAGTCGTCTAGGTGCCATCACAAGTCCTATCATTGATGCTTCGATTCATGAACAATACTTACCCATCACATTCTATGTTTGTGCAGCCTTGACACTAATATCAGTTCTACTAAGTTTAGCTTTGCCCGAAACGAAGGATAAACCATTGGATGATATGAGTGAATTTACGAACAGTAGACATCTTTAAATGTTAAAGTGTTGAAATTTTCAATTTAGCTCGAGATATTTCATAAACTCATTCTGTTTATCACCTTGAAATAACGGATTCACAAATGTTTTGATTAACTTGATTCTATGAACCGTTTATAAACATTTGTTCGTTCAGGAGAGTGTGGGTGTGGGTGTGGGTGTGGGATCTGTATGTGACTGTTGCTCTCTCTTTAATAAGTTTCACACTCAAACTCACACTCTCGAAGCAATACTATTTTAATCAAATTAAGTGAAATCAATAGTTGCGTGAACCAGTCATTACTATGTTCAAAGTTTGACACTTAACAAATATTTATATTATGTATCATATATAAACAATTCTTAAGCGCATATAGATATTAAGATTTTTTACCATAAAACTTATGATTCGTTTACTTTTCTGAATAAAGTTCGATTAGAAATTTTTCAAGTACACATAAGCAATTGAGGAAAAAAACAGTTGCCTTTTACTGATGTTATTATATAATTATTTTAGTTTAAAAATGTAAACAATTGATTTTAAGCTTTTCAACATCTTCTACAATGTTTATATGAAATTGAACTATTTTTTTGAAAATTGTATTAATAATATAAAGAAGTGTAAATTATGCAATTGTAGATTTTTCTTTCAGATTTACTAGTAGTTCCCAGGCGAGCAAAAGACGGGTAAAAGGACTAATATCGATTTTATAAAAAAAGGCGCTTCACGAAAATGCTTATAACTTTTGAAGGGAATGTGATAGAGACCTGCGGTTTTCGCCATTGCATAGGCCTTTGCACGGGACGTGATGCTATGGTGTAATCAAAAATTTCATTGAGATTCATGATAACAAGTTTTTGTATGTAAACTTGACAAGGCTGTCATCCCCAGTGAACATGATAGGCTTTAACTTAAAAATAGTTAAAGTGATAGCCTGAAACGAGATCTACAATTCTACGCAAGGCGCAGGTCTCTATCATTTATGGTTCAAAAGTTATGAGCCTTCTCCTGAAAAGTACTCACTCTCATTTCGTGCACGAAAAAAAATGCTAAAAACACTTGATATATACATTGTTAACAGGATTGTACCAGAATGCGAAGGATGAGAGAGTAGAAAGAATATTTTCCAGAACATAAAAAGGCATATTAACACCTCTCCCATGTAAGTAATGCAGAATTTTGTTTTTATCCTGTAAATTTTTCAATCAACAGACGATTTTTGATGAGAGAAATAGAAAAAAATCTATGAAATTGAGAGAGTTCGTAGATTCTTGCAATTCACGAGCGTTGTTTTCAAGAATATTAGATGTTCTGAGCCTTGTAATGTTGTGCCTTTAGCGTCTGAAAATTATTTTCAGGTGAATCTCTTCGAATATATCATTATACGACGAATATTTCACATATGACTTTTTCTTTTAAGTTGAAGCTAGCGATTTATTCACAGTTACTTTAGACTTGATGCAGTGGTAGAGGTACATCTTTTCGAAAAATGCAACAAGACTTACCTGAGAAGATTGATGAGCTTCGTTTTACTTGGATTTATCCTATTTTTCCTTTACTATCGAAAAAACAACAAGATGATCCTTCTCACTTTTATTCTACGTGCCTTCGTCGCGTTCTATTCTGCTTACATTGGAATGAAACTCTCTTTGCGTTTGCTTTAGATGAAAAAACCCTGGTTGATAGATGCGCTGTTTATTGGAATAAATTTTTTATTTCACTCTCAGAATCAACTGATGGTCTTCTTATTTTTGAGAAAGCAAATCTAAATGTTTTTCGTAAGTTATGGTTAAACAACGAATATCCTATTGGCTGTCTCAGGAAATCTAAACGTTTTGTCGAGCATCGCTCGATCTTAGAAAAGGCCCTTGATTGGATAACGTCTGTTCCTGAATATTCATCTGTTCCATACTTTGATATTGAAGAGTTTTCACTCCTTGAGGATTTTCCAATGACATTTTAGGAAAAAAAATCGTTTTATGTATGGTTTTCTGTACGATCTTTACTGTGTTTTGATGCTTGTCTTTGTCCTTCTTCATGTCTTGTTTGATTGTGCTTGCTATATTTTTCTTACTCGTTATGTTTATGTATTTCTCTAAACTACTAGCGTTAAACCCGCGTTCTTCTACTTCTTCTATGCTCCCTCTGCTTATGTCTTTTATTTCTATTACTTTTATTATTATTTTTTTTCTCCTTTTCTCACTTTGTACTGTCAGGATCTTTATGATCACAGATTGCAAAAAAAAAAAAAGAAAAGAAGATTGATGAGCTCTCGTTTCGTGCTCTTAAGCATGAATAAGATGAGTTCAATATTGTAAGCAATTGAACATAAATTTGAATTTTAGAAGGATTCGAAACTGAATTTACTTTTTGTTGTTTCATTTTGATTGAAATAATCAGGCGTATTAAACTAAATAAGATGAACTTATTTCTGGTGAAGCTTTTTTTCCAGAAACTGATGATAGATTCATATCTTTCATGATCAATAGTCCTTGAAAGAATCATCAGGATGAGTGAACCACAGAATCTCGATTTTCATGCATGTCTAATTATAAAATCACCAGATATACTATCTTTTTATTAGTAGACGTAAAGAAATTATAAACGAAAGTTCGTATGAAGTATAAATCAAATGAATAATAAAATAAATTCTGATAAATAAATCGATCAAAGAAGAGCAGAATTTCTTCGAAACAATTAACAAGAATACAAACATCGAGATTCTTGAATAAAATAAAAATGAATACAATTGATTTCACAAATTTTATTGTCAAGAAGTATGTTGAATGTTATATTACGAATTTCACTATTTCAAAATTTCCATCAATGGAAATTAAATTATGATGAGGTCTCTTGTGATTCGATGTTTTATCATTTGACCTTTTTTGTGGCATCCATGATTCAGAACAAAGAACAAATAGATAATCCCACGACTTTTCACTCTTTATAAGGAATGTGAAAACCTTATGCTTCCTATTTCTTTTCTTCTTCTTTAACACATCATCGAATAAACACAACAATATGCAACGACATCTTTGTTTACTTTTAGTATTGAGTAAAGGTGTGGGTGGGTGTGGGTGTGGATCAGGGATACCCACACTCCACACCCACGCCCACACCCGCAGTGCTGCTAGTTTACATGATTCAAGTGTATCATGATCAGTGGTGAATTTATTCATTGAATCTCGAATTTTTAATTGATATTTTTGATTATGAAGACTTGAATCAACTAACAATAAATCTTTACAACCACTATAACAAATTTGCAAAAATACTTAAATCATAACAATACTTTAACAAATGTTTTACCTATTAAAATAATTATTCATCTACTTCATCACGAAGTTTTGTTGATATTGTGCCCACATCATCAGTAAATGCATAACTCTTTGTCGCATCTTTTGTATCACGCTCATAACTGACTTTATCTGCAGGAATCTAAGAATAAAAATCTTTAAGGTATTCAAGAAACTGAACTTTTCAGATCATTTATATAGTAATAAACTATGTAAACTCTGCAAGCAGTTCGAAGGTATGGGGAGTAGAGCTCATCAGGTCTAATGAGCAGTAGAATATAATATCCTAAAATAAATTTGTAAGTTACACAATAAACTATTCTAATTTTAATTTCTACCTCTATGAATAGTAATAAAGTAAAATATCGTTTGTATCCAAAGTCGAAAAATCTCTAAGCTCGTAGTTTTCTATTCTAAAATTTTGAATTCGAAAGATAAAAGCATAAATGCATAGCCGATCTCTTCTTAAGAATTTTTCTAATCTGCATTGTTGCATCAATACTTGTAAAACAAAGCACAATAAATGCAGAATATTTAGCTACAACACGTTCTTTATCATGATAATAGAACAAAAATTGTTTATATTTTATTTTGGCTTTGAAGATGATGTAGATATTTATATGTTCGTTAGAAATCCATCAGTTACATAACACAATATTTGATTTTTTACTGAACGAAAGTTATTAGATTTAAACAACTACCAAATCGTTTTTCACAAAGAATATTTTAATGGACGAATTTTATTATTGTTCGTGTTAAAAAAGCTAATGAAACATTGCTGTTGATCTTGTTAATTGATTAAATTTAAGTATTTCAAATTTTCTTTCGTTTTCAATCGCTCAGATTTATCCTTATAGTCATTAATACCTATTTCAATTTCTTTATCTAAATCAAGAAAATAATATTTGGACGATCAATGATGAAAATATAAACATCAACGATAAAAATAATCATCTATTTTCGACGAATTCTTTTCATTAAACATTAAATCATTATATTTCTGTAATTCATGTACGAAATTTTTCGTATAATATTTTTGAATTTGTACGCGAAATTCAATACTACGTAATATAGTCCATGAATATGATTGTTGAAAATCTATGAGTATTTTTAAGTGTACGTAATTGCAGTGGCGGATCCAGGAAGTTTTGAAGGGGCGTGCGGTGGATGAAATGTAAACAAGTTTTAACGTTATTTATAATACTTTTTCTAATCTTTTTTCTTATTAACTGTTCAAATTTACATCATTCAAATAATATCATAATCTATGTCCTAGAGAAAGTACTGAGTTCAGGGTACCCATGTACTGAGAAAGCCTTAGCAGGATACCCTATACGGGTACTCCGAAAATTCTCAGTAATTATACTGATGCAGGTACTCTTTGGGGGTACCCATAAAAGTACGCTCACTGAACAAGTACTTGTATGGATACTTGGATCTGTAATTTTACTGAGGAAAGCTCTACAAGGTACCCTATATTTGTCGCGTTCTGTGTAGCGACTATTCATTCACCGTTTTCTTTTTCACGCACGGCTTCATATAAACAACTCGATAAATCATAAGAAAATAATCTATTTTCATATCAATTTTTTTCTAAATTATTTCTTGACTATTTCCTAGTCGAGAAAATGCCAACCTTGATCATAGATTAAGATCAGATTATCCTGATGTGGTCTATGACAGACTCAAATGGGGTCAGATCCCGGCATTACAACTGCTAATTTTTCAAAATTGAAAAAATTAAATTGAATAAAATCAGAAAAATTGTGGTAAATTGCTTTGAGAGACAAAAACTAAAAAAGTGAAAGCTCAGGTTCGATCCTGAGCATATTGAGACTTCAGTAGCAGGGTGCCTAGAAATACTATACAACAGTACCCAATCGAGTATCTGATCAGTACCTTTAAGTACCCAGTTACTACATATTTTGTAGCAGGGTACCTATCAAAGTACCACATAGGTACTTTCCAATACCTACAAGTACTTTGGTACCCAAAAGTTCCTGTGACATACTGGTAACAGGGTACTTTTTCGGGTACCCTTCACTCAGTACATTCTCTAGGGTGGCAATCAAAACAAAAACAAATCATATAAGAAATTCTAGCTTTCTATTCTTTCGTTTTGAAAACTTGTCGATCACTTGTTCAACGTCAATATTAACAGTTGCATGTATATACTTCATTGCTAAACCATTCAAACGGTTTTCAGTCATAGTACTTCGAAGATATATTTTTAAAAGTTTTAATGTTGAAAAGTTTCGCTCGCCTGTGGCTGTTGTCACTGGTAACGTTGAAGAAACATAAGCATCAATAGCATTGTTTGGACGATGATCTGGAGCTTCTTTTGTCCATTTTCGTTTGTACAATTGGAATTCTTCTTTAATTATGTTCCGTGATGGTAAATAAGCTTCATAAAAATTAATAGAATTTTTTAGATCATCGAAAGATTTTTGTTCAATCATTGATGGAATAAGAGCAGAGACATTATAGGCCAACCATTGATGAGCACCGAATCGGTCAACCAAAGATGCAATGAAGTGATCCAAAACAGGAATAAATAAGTTGATTCGATAATAATCTTCTGGTGTTTGTGCTGGTGCATTCGGTTGATGCATTTGTCGACATATTGTTCGCATTACTGTCAATTGAGTACCTGAAAAAAATTTCAAATCCGCAACGCGGAAGTTAGCTTGATGCTTCTCATGTTTTAGCAGAACTCAGTGATTCAGTGGAAACCAGATAAATTCGATTGAGAGTCAAGTTGAGTTGATCAGTTGTCGAACTGCACCATTGAACTTGGTTTCTTTCTATAGGGATTTATTAATTATGTTTTTCATTGTGTTCTTTCAACATCTGATCGCTTTATAAGAGTAATTATCTTACCTGATTGTTCACACAGTTGCTTTGCATTGTCAATTATTTCACCAAACTCTTCATCGAGTTTTTCATTTCGCATCTGTTTGAATACCAATAAAACATCGTACACTAACTGCTTACAATCCATAATATCATTTTTCGTTGCTTGTAATCCAGCAGCGATAGGCAAAGTTATCGATAGACATTTTTTAGTGTACACAATGAAACGATAAAACAAGAATTTTGAATATTTTTCAAATAGTTGAATGCTAATGTTCGACTCTTACCTGATTCCTTTTCGATGATTGTTTCGAAACAACTAAGGATGAAGGGATACAATTCTAGAAATGTAATCACGGCATCGTGTCTTTCCACCTATCTAGTATCACAAACATTTGCCAACTTTTTTTTCTTCGAATTATTTATTATTTCTTTAAGATAAAAAGTTCGTTTTGATGATGAATTGAAAAAATTATAGATTTCATTAAGAGTACCAATACAATTTTGAATAAAAATAATCGAACACGAGTCAGATACAGTTAAATTAAGACTGTGTGATGCACAATGAAAATAAAGTGCCACTGGAAATAGGTTTTGGATGTATGCATGATATTCTAAAAGAACCAAAAAAAAAGATATCGGGATTATAGATGCGTAGGCTGAAAAACGAAATCAAAAGGAATGCCAAAAGATATCCTACCATTAAATTGTCCTGCCATCGCCGAACATCCATCATATGCCTGGCCTCCCATGAAATTTGGATCAAGACCAAGATTTTTTAATTCTTGAAGAATTAGTCGAGCCAAACCTTCACCTGTACGATCTTCAGCTGATACGAAACTAATAAATTTTTCTTGAACTTTATCCTCATATACGTATCGTAGACAAAATGTAAATTGTTCAATGTTGCTGACATCCATCGTTTCATCACCAATCACAGTAAAGAATGTAGCATGTTTTACTTCAGTAATTATTTTTTCTCGAACTAAATCACCACAAATTTCAATTAATTCATTTTGTGTTGTTTTCGAAATATATGTAGCAGTTTTGATTGTTGTACATAGATGGTTTGCTAACACTGAATCACCTGCGTCAACTCGATAGCGAAGTAACGCACGAAAATTACCTAAAATGGATATTTATTCAGTTATTAAAAAGAACAGACTATTTACTTACCTTCTCCACGAACAATAGAATAATTGATGTTAAACGTTTTCGATTTTCAATTTTTTGCATTTACTCTTTCTTGAATAGCAAATCATCGACACCGTCACATTTTTTCTCATATATAGAAATAAATTGTTCTGCATTCAGAATACTATCATGGTGATAACTGTTTGCTTTGTGTTTATCAATTAATCCATTGGTACCTAAAAGCTTACCATACTGTTGGCATGGTAAAAGAACAAATTGACCAAGCTGATTGATACCGCCTGGTTTGGCGAATAGAGCACAAGTCACACAGTAAAGACCAGCCTTCGATGGTGAGTAAACCAGCCATGGTTTATTATCATTTAAATGATTTGGTCGTAAAAATCGCTTCTCGACAGTATTATTTGTCTTTCGTTCAATAAAAGGCCACTTGAATTTTTCATCAGGAATAAAATGTTGAGTTAATAGCAAATATCGTAAATCATCTGTCAATGTTAATCGATTATTTATATAATTTCCAATATCATTTTTCAGTTCCATTGAATCTAAAGTTGATGAAGCTTCTGGTAATGCTGCTGGTGGTTGGTCGTTTGGCAATACATGATTGTTGGTCGAAGAAACAACAATCGATTCAGAAGCGCCAATTGAAGTATCTGTTGTTGTTTCATTTGTAACAAGATTATTATTTATATATTCGTTCAAAACTGTAACCGTCGATCTTTTACCTCTATTACTGGTGAAGCCAAATGAAGAGAGGTTTTTAAACTTTTTCACTGACATGATTTGATTAGATGTAAAACATGAGTAACAACTTGCTGTTCATATTTAACAATCATTGAGACAATGAACTCAAATGAAACCAATGACATATTCACTTATTGTTTCAATTTGTAAGACAATGAGCTCACATGAACCAATTATATAGTCATTGATTGTTTCAATATGTGGGACAATGAGCTGAATGAACCCACAATATAATCGTCCAGTAATTCAATGTTATTCCACAATGCTCGTCAACCGTATGACAAGAAAAAAGGTCGCATTGCAAGAGAAAAATATTTCTGATACTAAAGTAGAATATCAATATCATATATAACTAAGTTGCTTTTCTTCTGTCATTTCGTTAATTGCAGAATCTAAGCAATACAAGTTTCAGAAAAGTAAACTATACCATCATTGTCTTTGAAAATTTTCCGGAAACAAAAAATGGATATAGTATATATAAATTTCAAAGGGGGTGCGGTCGCACCCCCCTCTCCTTGGATCCGCCCCTGCGTAATTGTTCTAATGATACATTTCGTGAAAATATTGTACCAAAACAAATATTTATACAAGTATCATTAAAAAAAACTTCTAAATATTTCTGAGATTGTTTTTAATGATTCATTCCGAGTCTTTTGTATGCATTTAATTTTTTTCATTGGATGGAAGATTTTTAAATGTTTTCCCTGATATGCAAGATTAATTCATCATCCTTCAGTTTTATACGTATACGAATTGTTGAAAATAGAAGCATGATTTCTCTCTTATATATTCCTTGACATTCAAATTTAAAAAAGAACCAGAAATTTCAGTACAAGTACCTTTTATTTCTCGACGAAATTCATAAACATTTCCTTTCATATTTACATATAAATCGAATCCGTCATTTCGTAAATGAAAAATAATATTACGATCAATAATATACAATGGTATTCTATATTTTCGTTGAATTTTATCTAGATTATTGGAACCATGTACTTTTCGAAACTCATCACGAAAACGTAATGACCATTCAGTCTTTTTACGAAATAAATAATCTTTATGGCGATAAAAACAACTCATTGATGTTAATGCACTATATAATAATTCAGCATATATAGGGCGATCAATTAAAATTGAAACTTCTTTCTTAGACTTATCTTCTTTTGGAATTTTACAATGAAGTATTGAATTGTGAAAGATTAGTGACTTTTTAAACATAAACCAAGATGGACGATTTACATATATCATAAATAGGTTTTATTGAATCAATGTTAATATCGGATTGTATTTGTTGAAGACGTTTACATGCATGATGACAACGTCTATCAATTGACATGACGGGTATTCTGATATAAATATGGTATCTTTTCAATTTTATGAAACAGAATATAAGGGATGTGAGCGGGTTGCATACTTGTCTATAATAGTACTCTTTTCACTAACAATTATACACTCAACGCACACTCACTCTGAAAATTTCTCTTTTGTGTTGTTGCTAAAATCTGAAACTGTTCAAATAAAGTTTTCTTATTGTTCATTTCAATATTTTTATTACTGAAATAAATACAAACATTTTGAAAACTTCCTAATTTATCTGTAATCATTAGACAAAAAGAAATCTTTCTCTTCTAATCTAAGCAAATTGAATGCCTGTAATCCAAAGATGTGAACTTTAATCTATTCACCTTGGACTACTGTGGAAGAATTGAAGACAAGGCTCATGCATCATATGGAATCGAGTACTGAAAAAAAATATCAGAAAAGAAAAGTGGAGAACGTTTTTCTTAAATGTAAAAATTATATTTTGACAATAAGAGAACACTACCGCATGGAAGGCATTCTCTCTATTATAACGTTGAAGTATGCATAAAGTAAATAAGTAGAAAGATGAGTGACATATGATACAAACATTAAAACTTTTCATATTCTGACATAGACGAGTATGTTTTTAGTCTCAGAAAAAAATTGATATGATTTTCATGTTTTGCCTATTTTTCTTTTGGTATACTGAAGTAAAAGAAACCAAATGAGTTCTAGATTTCAGTTTCAATGAAGGTGCGTTAACAAGATTGATTATAGATTCATAAAGAATCTTCATTTTTTAATATAGTTACTTGTAATTCTGTTTCTTCCCATTTTCTATAATATTTACTGGTAATTCGACTAACAGTGGAGCCTTTGAATAAAAGTCTTTAATTTCAAGATCTAAAATTCGTGGTTCCGGTAATATTTGATTACTTTCATCAGTTGCTTTTCTTACAAATCGACCATGTTCAATAGTTGGTTTTGGCTATTGTTAAAAATCTTATTCATAAACATATCAGTATATATGATTTATATAACATATACGAACTTCTAGGTCAGTTTTAGGATTTTCTTGAATAATATCAGAAGTATTTTCGTTACAATAATTATCATTGCCATCTTTATCTTCATCATCACATAAATAAGAGTTCTAGGTTATTGGCAGTTATATGTGCTTGTTCGATTTACTGGTTCAATACTTCATCGAATGCTTGATCACGAAAACAATCAGATACAATATTTTCTTCACATGGGAATGTTTCATTAATATCTTAATAAGATGAATCCATATTTTTACTAAAAGATTAATGTCGCACAATGTAAAAGCGTTATTTTCTTTTGTTTATTTGTACCTTGACAATCTTATTAATATTATATTTCACAAATAGGAAAAATATCCAATGTAATAATGTTCTTTTGTGGAACTCACGTATATTTTCGAAGAAAATAGTGAGTGTAAGTTTTAAGTTCGAGGTTTTGCGGCTCCCCCCTCCCCCTCCCCTTACAGACCATAGCAAAGAAAGAGAAAATTACATACACATACCCTCCCCCCCCCCTTACAGACCAAAGCAACC